ATTCTCTCCGTCCATTTGGATGCTGTGAAGGAATACATTCCTGTATGAAGGCATCCATGATAAGTAAACTAGCAGTTACTTAAATGGTGGTTCCTGAAATATCTTAATATTAATAGTGGGTATATTTGGTAATCTTTTTAAAATATTTATTTTGTTTCCTTTTTCTTTGTTTCTGGTATTTTGTAAAATGACCTTGAATTTGAGTTTTGAGAGTAATAAGTGTGTCTTGATTTGTTTAGGGGGTAATCTGCCCTCTGTTTCCATAAACATTATTTTCACTGTCAAATTTGTGCTCCATAAGCTTTAACAACTGGCTAGGATTTCCTCAATATATGTTCCAAGTATTTCATTTTCCCTCAATTCACCTGGTCAGCTCTGTTAACAAGATCACAGATTAAATAGAAAATAAAACAGAAATAACTATAAGCATGCAAATGATGCCATAAAGTTCACACGCTAAAACCAATAGGCCAACAAATGTGACACACTGAAGGGCAGGTGTTTCGCTCCTGCATTGATGCAGGGCCTCTTTCCTGGCACCTTATCCATCATTTTCGCACGCATAGCTATTTGACTTCCAAGGCCTTCGTACATTAGAGATAGTAAGTTTGGGGGGTGGGGGGAGCAGCTGCTGACAGCCTGGCACCAAGGAGAGGGACAGAAAGCTTAAAAGAGGAGATTCAAGAGAAAACCCTGAAACACCCAGTTGATCTAGAGATCAAATATAGGGGCAAAAATGTTTATACCCTTTTATTGGGTCCAGATCATACTATATAGCTGTGAAGGAAAATAACTTAATTTAACAATAATTAACACTGAGTAATAAAGGAAAGGCAAAAAAATATAACCAGAATACACTCTTTAAGAAGGAGAAGAACGAATTATGTTGTTTAATGTGATTTCCACATAAAACAACTACAATAAAAATATTCTTGTGCTTCAAGGAATAAATTGGCAACTACATTGAATAACTCACCCCAGATGTTTCTGCATAATTTATTTGTATTGTAATCTTTTAACCTTTTGCTCAGTTTTCTTATCACTTGAGAACACTTGCTTCATGGTGAAGATCGGCCCAATATTAGGACTATTACATTAATGTTCCTCTATAGACTGATAGCATACAGACAGGAGGTAACTGCTCCTAAGGACAAGAATGTAACTAAATTGACTCAGCCTTGTTTTTTATAGATGTTCATCCTGATATCTACTGTAGGCTAATAAAATATTACACCGGCACATCAGCAAATTATTCCTGTGCAGCTAGTTCTTTCAGTGCTTTGGGTAACTTGCTGTCTAACTCCCTTTGACACAACCAGGGGTTTGCAAAGAGGAGACAATAGCGACCAAAGCTCAGCCTTAAGAGATCAAATCAGAGGATCTAGGCTCCAGGACATGATAACAACGCAAACAAAATGATGACCTAGAACCCCCAAATTCTTTAGCATCACAGAATAAATAACACTCATTAAAATGAAGAATAAGTCAAAATGCAGTTGAGTGATTCTGTACTTTCTTAAGTGCTCCTCTTTCTACCTGTTCCCCAATTTCTGTACCCAAACTTTTTTCTATTGTGGAAGTTTCACTTTTGCTACGCCAATCCCCTCTTTCCCTTCTCTCTCAAAATTTCCATTTCCCTAATATTCTAGTCTAGAGGGTGTGGTTCTGCTTACCCCGCACCTCCCACAGCCTTTGGCCACAGCCTGAGGCCGGTGGGCGGAACGCTGTTTGTCAGGGACTGTCTGGGTCAGAAGTGACTGGCGACGCTCAGCTGGAGAGACAGACTCAGAAGCCAGCTGTGCAGCCAGTGGATAAAGGACTCTTTCAGCACCCGCTCTCTTTCTCCTCTTCACAGGATAAGGGATCACAGAAGTTTCTCCCTTTCTGCCTTTTTACCCACCATCACGCCCAAGGTCCCTATGCTTTCAGATTTCCAGACAGAACAGAGAAAGTGAACATGCCCATTATTGTGCCTGAAAACTATCCACCCAGAATTTCTGTCTTAAGTAAAAGAATCCCATTTGTTCAATCAAAATACTTTGGATCCCCTCTTGTCAAGTGTCACGTCCTATTCAATTTCTCAGTTTCCACTGGATATCTGTCTAGTGATTTTCACTCCCATTTCTCTTGGAGCCGAAGTGAGCCCTCCCTCAGTTACTTGCTGAGGGGGCTATTTCTCTTCAATAAACTGCTTTTTTTTGTTTTCAACTCAGTTTGCCCTTGTTTCGATTTATATTTTTCTTTCCCTTTTCTACTTATCTCTAAGTGCTTGCTCTTTGACCTTGTACTAATTCTGCCTCCTCCTCTCCTGGTTTCTTTCCAGGCTGTTCTTAACTCTTTCTCCTCCATCACCTTCTCTGGCCTTATTCCTCTCTCCCATTATAACCCTTCCCACCTTAATCCGTTCCCTTATTCTTCTTGGTAATTTCTACCAGGATTCTTATCTTTTCTGTCCTTCATGTTTTACTTGTCTGTCTTTCCCTCTTCCAATAACTGAATCTTAGCAAGAAAAGACATTTCCTGTCTGTAAAATTTTGCCATTCCACTTTAACAGAAATAAGCACTGCCAGTAGAATTGCTTAACATTAATGAAAAATAAATATTTGCAGAAAGATAGGAAGCAGGACAAAAAGTACTTATTTGCAATGGCTGGAGTTAAAATTTGAGACTGTGAACACAAAAGAAGGTATTTCTTTGAATATCTAATGAACCAAAGTTAGCACAAACTCAATGTTAGGAATGCCCAAGGCCTATTACCAATTCTGTCCTACTGAGTATTTTTATCTAATATTGGACAATTTTTCACTTCTTTGTATGGTTTCTGTTTTTAAATTATGAAATAGTGTTCTCAATTGCAAAAGTCTATTGTAAAAAAATTTTATATACAAAAGGACATACCATGAAAAGCTATTCTCCCATCTCCTCACACCCCAGGCCACTTTCCCAGATATAACCACAGTTTAGGATATGTAAGAAATTTCTACTCATAAGTAATAATGTATATATGTATGTGTATATCCTTTATAATAAAAGGCTAATATGCAAATTGACCAAATGGCAGAATGACCAGTCGCTATGACACGCACTGACCACCAGGGGGCAGATGCTCAACGCAAGAGCTGCCCCCGGTGGTTTGTGGTCAGTGTGTTCCCACAGGGGGAGTGCTGCTCAGCCAGGAGCCAGGCTCAAGGCTGGCAAGCGCAGCAGGGGTGGCGGGAGCCTCTCCTGCCTTCGCAGCAGTCCCCCCTACTCCCCAGTGCATGAATGTCATGCGCCGGGCCTCTAGTATATATATGGATGGATATATATATACTTTTTTAATTTAATTTTTATTTCTCTCCATTTTTATACAAATGGAAGCCTACTATACATATTATAATGCAACTCAGTTTATTCACTTAAGAATATATAATAGAGAGAATTCCAGTAAGTACTTATAAATTCCCCTGTTGCATAGAACTCCATTTTATTATTATACCATAACTCCGGAAACTTTATATCTTAAAAATTACGGAGAGTCCAATAATATTTTCTTATTTATATTGATATTTATGTAACATATTATACTGGTATATGTCTATGTAATCTAAATTACTTCTGAAGAAATTGAAACATATTAATTAATTTAAAATGGCAGTTATAAATACTTTTTCTGGAAATAAACTATATTTTCCAGATTTAGTGTGAAAAATGACATTGCTTTATAATTTTGTAAATCCCTTTAATGTTTGGCTTAATTAAATACAAACGAATTTTCACATTTCCTTTTGTATTTAATCTGTTGCAAATGTTGTTTGGGTTGAAATATATAAAGAAAATCTGGTGTTACATAGATATATAGTTGAAAAAGGGAGGAGTATTTTAATAACCTCTCCAGATAATTGTGAATATTCTCTGACTACATTAAAACTCAACAAAGCCATAGCTTCTTAAAGGTTAGTTACAATATAAGTTCTGAAACCACATTAATAAACTTTTCCTTCTTTGTTACATTAAAAGTCTATTGGACTGTCCTACACTTTTTAAAAAATTGAGGTATAATTGACATACAACATTATATTAGTTTTCAGGTGTACAAAATAGTCATTCAATATTTGTATGTATTGTGAAATGGTCACCACAATAAATCTAGTTACCATATACACTATACATAGTAACAGAATTTTTTTCTTGTGATAAGAACTTTTAAGATCTACTCTCTTAGCAGTTTTCAAATATGATATACAGTATTATGAACTATTGATCTAATCCACACTTTGAATGGATCACTTATGTATTCAGGATTATGTAACGTCATGCATTAATTATTTGGAAAATAGAATTCACTGAGTTATGCAAAACTTTTAAATGTTGACCTATTTTATTATGTTATATCACAAAATAATACTCACTAATATCACTATCAATTTCCACAGAAAAACCTTTAAGTATTGAGAACTTGTCAAATTCCTGATGGCTTTCTAAAATTCTAATTTTCTCTTGAAAGCTCAAATTTTACCATTGGCAAGAAATGTAATCCATTGTTTTCCTTGACATGGTAAGTTCACTTTATTTATTTTTGAGGAAGTATCTGCCAAATTCCCAATTCTGAATAACTACATTTTACCCATCAGTCAGTTTTTCATGTGAAATGTTCCATTATTACAACTCAAATAATTGCATAAGTGCTTTTCCTTGAGATAATCCCCCTACTTTGGTACACAGCTATGCTTTTTGTATGCCTCCCATTTTGTCACACAAAATACTGAAAGACAAGTACTCAAGGGTCGTCAAAATTTAATGAAGTTGGTCATTTATACTGCTTCATCAAGGGTATTCGGAAGTAAAACTGGCTTTTTCTTTTCTTTTTTTAATGGACATGAATGGGGGTGAAGAATGGAATTAATGACTAGCAGCATAGTTTAGTGCCACTGGCTTGATTCTGCTAAGGCACCAGAATTTTTACCTGTCATTGGTTGGGGTTTTTTTGTTAATAAAGTAGAATAACATTTATTTTTTTCTTAAAACTTTATTTTACATGCTGTAATCGTGGAAACTCAAATCAGATATAAATTATGTCCAGCTGAGCTGGTTACAGGTCATGGTTAGCATGAGAAGAGTTAAGCGGAAGCTTTCTTTTTCTTGTAGGTTACCATCATTTTCTTGATTTCAGCAATCGCTTTCCCTGGATTCAGCCCCTTGGGACAGGTCCTTGTGCAGTTCATGACGGTGCGGCAGCGGTAGAGAGAGAAGGGGTTCTGTAGCTTGGCCAGGCGCTCCTCCGTGAACTCCTCTCTGGAGTCGATCATCCAGCGATAGGCCTGCATGAGCACCGCAGGTCCCAAGTATCTGTCTCCATTCCACCAGTAGCTGGGGCAGCTGGTGCTGCAGCAGGCACAGAGGATGCACTCGTACAGCCCATCCAGTTTATCTCGATCTTCTATGGACTGCAGATACTGCTGTTTGCCTTCCTGGGATTCATCCTTCTTCTTCAAATAAGGCTCAATGGATTTGTATTGAGCATAGAAGTGGCTCAAATCAGGAACCAGATCCTTTATCACATACATATGTGGAAGAGGGTAGATTTTTGAGACTTTGTTGAGGTTGGTGTCAATCCTCCGGGTGCAAGCTAGAGTGTTGCCTCCATTGATGTTCATTGCACAGGAGCCACAGATCCCTTCCCTGCAAGATCTTCGGAAGGTCAAGGTAGAATCCATTTCATTCTTAATCTTGATTAAAGCATCCAACACCATAGGACCACATTTATTCAAATCGATTTCATAAGTTTGCATACGAGGTTTATCTCCAGTTTTTTCTGGATCCCATCGGTAGATGGCAAATTTCTTGATTCGGGGAGTGGTGGCAGCAGCTGTCTGGGCCCCTCGGCAGGCCTGCAGGCAGGCTCCGCCGAGGGCCGCTGCAGGGAACCGGCGCCTCGAGGACACTCTGGCCACCGCTGCCCTCTTGGCTTCTAACCTGCCTTTGTTTTTATCACTGTGAATGTCAAAACAATGAAAACAGATGAATAATGTCTTAGTATTATTAATAAAATAGCTTTGACCTCACAGTCAATCCCAGGGGTTTGTAGTGACACTTTGAGAAATGCTGTCATTTCTTATTTTTTTAAAAATATTTTTATTGATTTTAATTTTATTTATTTTGTTAGAGAGAGAGTAACATTGATGTGAGAATGAAACATTGATCGGTTGCCTCCTGCACACCCCTTACTGGGGATCAAACCCACAACCTAAGTATAGTATATGCCCTGACTGGAATCAAACCCACAACCGTTTGGTGCACAGGATGACGCTCCAAGCAACTGATCCACCTGGGGATAACTGTATTAACAGAGAAATCATTTAATCATTCAAAGTTATCTTCTGAGGAACCTACTATATTCACTACATGGTATTAATACTAGACATTGCAGAGACAGTCAAAATGCATTAAGGGCAGATTCTGACTGCAAGATTACTAACAGTGGTTGAGAAGCTTTTGCCAAGAAAACAACTGCAAAGACCACATCCAACTCTCTAACTTTAAGAATGGAGAGCAGATTGGGGTAAAGTCATGCAATTACGTGGTCTTTTATCTGACTAATAATTAAGGTGACTATATAGTCCTGGGTTTACCCAATTAACAGTACCTCCTTTCACTTTCAAAAGTATCCCAGTTTTGGCAATAAATTTCATAGTCATGTATGAATAATGCCTTTGAGTTTCCCCATAGTCTCATCTTATCATTGAGACTTTGACGTACCCCACCAAGAACCTTAAATAGAAAACAAACATTTATCAGCACTTAATTTATGTCCCATGTACCTTCTATACAGATTTTATTCTATACAGCGTGCCTTGACTTACAAGTGTCCTGACTAACGAGTTTTTCGAGATACGAGCCGTCTCTCGGCCTATTTTTTGCTTTGAGTTGCGAGCTAAAATTCGGGTTACGAGCCAGCTTCAGATACCCCACCGCTAGTTGGCTCAGCGAACGTCACAGTGAACGCCACAACATCAGCCCAGCATCACGTGTCTCACTCCTTCACTTTAAGCGGTTAGCTCTTAGTTGAAGCATCAGTGTTGTGCTCGCATTTGTGCTTGCAGTTATTTTGCAAACTTCGTTTTTTCAACCATGGATCTGAAGAAAGTAAGTGCGAAGGATAGTGCTGAGAAGAAGAAGCGGATGATGTGCATTGAATTAGAGAAAGAAATTATCAAAAAACATGACCAAGGTGTGCGTGTAATCGACTTGCCGAAGCAGTACGAGCGTAGCACTTCTACGATCTGCACCATATTGAAGCAGAAGGAGTCCATACAGGCTACAACTCCAGCCAAGGGCGTTAAAATAATTTCTAAACAGCGGACATCTATCCATGAAAATATGGAGAAGCTGCTAATGGTGTGATTAACGGCGAAGCAGCTCGCAGGAGATACCGTGACGAAGGCTATAATCTGTGAGAAGGCACGAGCTATTTATGCTGATTTGCTGCAGCAGACCCCAGGCACTTCAATGGACGAGGCATCGGGCGAGCCGTTTAAAGCCAGTCGGGGCTGGTTCAAAAATTTTAAAAAGAGGACCGGCATTTACTCTGTTGTCAGACATGGTGAGATAAAGGAAATGTTGGGAATGTGGGAGAAACTTTCAGACTTTATTCAAAAGAAACACCCAGAAAAAATTGCAACTGGGCGTGCGATGGAGCTATTTAATGACACTTGCCTAACTCATTTCAGAAATATTCTGAAAGGGAGGATGAAACAGATCTCATTGGACAGGTTTTTATCGAAAACTCCTTTAGATGAAAGTGATGAAAGCGTGGCAAAAAGGGCAAAAATCAGCAAATAAGATTCAGTTATTCAGTTTTTCAGTTCAGCCTTTCTCCAACTCCATCAGCATCTTTAAGTCATTTGATCTCCAAGGTAAATGCTGTACATTAAACTTAATAAAACAAGTTTATTGCACTACATTATATTGTTCAGTATTGTATTTTTATACAATATTTTGTTATTTTTAAATACATTTTTCTTATTTAAAAACATTTAACAAAACAATTGTGGTGTTTTTTGGGTGTCCGGAACGGATTAATGGCATTTCAATTCATTGTAATGGTGAAAATTGATTTGACATATGAGTAATTGGAGTTACGAGCTCCGTCACGGAACGAATTAAACTCGTAAGTCAAGGCACCACTGTATTTGCAACAATCCTATAAGATGATTATTGTATAGCTTCATTTTACAGATGAGGAAACTGAGACTGAGAAAGTGTAATGACTTGCCTAAAGCTACACACAAATAAATGGTTAAATTAGGATATGAAATCTATTTGATTTCAAAACCCATGCTCTTTCCTCAGTTTTTCAAAGTGTGTTACATGGAACCAGCATCAAAATCACCTGGGTGCTTATTTTGAATTCAGAATTACTGAGCCTTGCCCCCAAACTACTGAACCAGAATTTCTCACAGTAGGGCCTGGACACCTGGCTTTTAATAACTCCTTAGGTGATTCTCACGCATCAGAACACTTGCACACCACTGTTTCAGATTATACTACCTCTAGAGCCCAGCCATCAATTATGTATTCAAACATAGATGCTTCTGCAAGATACAAGTAAAGTAGTGAACTGGTAGGGCACAAAAATAATAGCACAGATTCTACTTCTAAGCTCCAATTTTCTTAGGTGATAACCAGGTATATATGTTGGTGACTGTACAGTTGGTCTCTTCTGGCGGTTACATTGGCCATTATTTCCCAGGCTTCTCAAAAGTTAAGTGGAAGTTTTTTTGGTGAAAAGGCCATCCTGCAGGTTCATACAACAGTTTCATCAATGTCAATTGTAGTTATATAGTCTCTCAACTTTAGCAAACATCCTTGGGGGAAATTATTTTTTCTAATTATTGATGAACTACATCTAGAATAAAACTCAGCTGGCACTCATTGCAATAGAATCATTAATGGCTATTACTAAGATTTTTGAGATGTATTACTATATGCTAGTACCAGCTGAATACATCCAAATCACATATTTTAATAATAAAGAAAAATAAAGTCCTTGTTTGGGTAGATCAGTTAGTTAGAGTGTCATCCCTATGCGCCAAGATTGTGGGTTTGATCCTGGGTCAGGGCACATAGAAGAAACAACCAGTGAATGTGTAAATAAAGGAACAACAAATTGATGTCTCTCTCTCTCTCTCTCTCTCTCTCTCTCTCTCTCTCTCTCTCTCTCTCATTAAAAATAAGTAAATAAAAAGAATAAAGATCAACCAATGCCACTTAATGTGACTTCTGCAACATATTCCTGATTTACAATTTAATGGATTTTGAAAGGCATAATTTCTTAAACTTGCCACATGCTTGAACCTGCAAAAAGAATGGTAGTAGTTACCTTCTGTAATCTCTTGCCTGTAAGCATATCTGAAATGTCCTAGATCACTGACACTTGGAAAATTCCTTTTCCTTTGGGTTATGTAATGCACTTCAAGGTCTCATACACGGGTTAGACAAAACCATGCTGTGATAGAAGCTTTTGCCTGGGAGAAAAGCCAGTACCAACTCAGGGCCCTTTGAAAAGCTAGGAAGAGTTGCTAAATCAAAACAAGTGTTGAGGGAGGGTGAGGAACCCCCATTCCCATCTGGGTCAGACTTAGTAGTCAAAGAGAAGACAGACCTGAGGGATGTCAGGAAGTCTTCTTGTCTGGGTTTCAAAATATTTGGCTCTACTTGGCCATGGTATAAATGTCCAGTTAACCCTGGAAGCCCAGGGTAAGACCAGTAAGGGAGGTGAGAAGCAAGGTCCAGTTCAATGGGAAATGGTCATACAGACCCTGGGGAACATAGTTATTTAGGGTTAAAGAGTTAAAGGAAGTCACCTGGCACCAGGGACCAGGCTCCAGAGTCGCTAGAATTATAGTTTAAAGGAGGCTATAGCTCGGGGCTCACAGTAAGCAGGGAAGGACTGTAGCCCTAATGCAACACCTCTTTGGCTCTCATTAGCCTGGGACTTTGGTTGGTCTGAATTAAGAGGTTACATGATCATTAATAGCTATTAATTCATTTAAATATTTTAATACAGTCTGACAGGCTGATGCCTTTTTCTTAGGCCAATATCAATGAATGTCCTACTTAGATTCATCATCAAGGATACTAAACAAGAATCTTCTTTTTTCTTTATTGATTAAGGTATTACAAATGTGTCCTTATCTTCCCACTGCCCCCACACCCTCCCTCACTCATGCCCTCACCTCCCTGGTGTCTGTGTCCATTGGTTAGGCTTATATGCATGCATACAAGTGAAACAGGAATCTTTTGTAGATGCTTTATTGAAGCTGGAAGAACTGTTATACCCAATGTTGATATCTTGAATCATCTATGAGGGTGGACCTTAACTTATTATATGCCAGCTCCAATTGGAATTTTGATGTTAGAAAACTTCTCTAGTCGCCTCATTATCAGAATAAGAATGTACATTTCATTTGTAGGAGTTCAGATTGATTCCTGTCATACTGGGAGATGAGAGCAGCCACAGCCTCTTGCAATAATAGCATGAGTTCCTCCCTGGAATTCATCATTTATGACAAGGCATTTATATTGATGTCTTGTGAACAGTTTTAATCCCTGAGACATTCATATTTTATCTGGGCCACACTATATGCAGGACATCTGAAAACTATTAAAAGAAGGAAAAGTTTGGGCCAGAATTAATGTCTAATTGTCTGCAATAGAATTTGAGAAAAATATAAAGGTCCAGGGCTATAGTAAAGCCATAGCAAGTAATTAAGAATCATTAGGCAGTCACCTATAGTAATTTTGCAGGACTGTAGAACTTTCTTAATTATGATGCAGTATTTTTTAGTCCATCCCTCACATTAGCAGTCACAACTAAACATATAGGAGCAGTACTTTGGAATTTCTGGCAGTGAAATTTGTAGTTCTCTCCGTTGGTTTTCTGAAATGTGTGGTGTTAAGACTTACCTGGGTTGATAGTATCATGCTGTATGATGGGAGCATGAAAGGAGGCTGAAAGGATGAGATGGCCTGGTAAGGGTATCAGTCATGAACAGGCTTCATTACACACTGAAAAAGACAAGTCAGTCTTGGAGATTTATTTCCATGGCCCCTCTGCGCTGCCTTTCAAGTCTGCCCTTTCTCTCTGTTCCTTTATGACATAACTGTTAAACATTATGAGGAACCATGAACAGCTCAATGTGAGTTCCTACTACTGTGAGTAAAGTCTTCTGCAAGAGCCAGGGTCCGGATGTGACCACAGGTGCTCTTCCCGGGACCATCAGACCACCAGGCATGGATATTTCAGCCACCCCTAGCTAAGGATCACTAGGACTGGCAAGATCAGTGATTCTTCTCAGATCCCAGCAACTGCTGAAGACATCGATATTCTGTTCCTACTAATGCATGCAGATACAACTTTGAAAAAGAGTCCTCTCTGCCTTTCATAAAATTGCACTAACTAAGCAGGAAGGGAGGTGTCAAATAACCTGATGATACTGTGGTTCACTGTTGTTATTATGCTCCTTCTGATTTCCTACAGTTGTGCCTTTGGTGATAGAGTGTGGGTTTCATCAAGAGTGGCTTTGTTTCAATGGTGACACATGTTAAAACAAAAACAGTCATAGGTTGACATTATTATTTTAAAATAGTAGTTGGACATTCTGAAGTAAAGTAACCTAAACTCAGCTGTGCTGTTCTGTTTAAGGAAATGGGTCTTCTGAAAAATGGATATGAATCTTTCTAAGAACATGACTCTTATACTAGTATTTAAGTCATACAAATGCAGATTCGTTAGACAGCCAAACCTAAGCAACACGCAGCGATGAAAATGTGGTCAGCTTCCTAACTAGCCTGGCTGTTCTCCCGGGGGAGGGGGGGGGTTGGTTAATCTGCCTTTTCTTCTGTTGAAAAAGATCACATTTCGGTCCCAAAAGTACAGTACAGGCTTGGTCAAGGATCCCATGTCCCCACCCTCCTCACCTTTACACACAGATGGGTTGTGGTGGTTTAGCAAATTCAGTGCAACTTTAGAGGCTGCTTTTTCTTCTTCTTTTTTTTAAAGAACTTAATGTAATTTGTAAAGTACAAAGAAAGCAGTTAGTTGCAAAATAGTCAAGGAGCAAATAACACTGGAATATAATTTGCCAGTTGCCTCATGTCTACACGGGAGTCCAAAAAACCGTTGGATACCACTGCAACCTTCTGCAATGTTAACCTCCCATTTAACTCTTTTTTCATCTTCATGCTTAATGCAGGCCAACATCTGCTCGCACATTAAATGTGGAATACTCCACATCAAAGGGCCTCTAAT